TCGTTACTGGTGAGTAAGTATCAAAGAAATCAAGACCTTCCTTTTGTCTATATCCTTTTGCTACCAAACGAGCCTTGTATTTATCAATAGATCCATCCGATTTTATTTTTTTCTTGAAAATCCACTTGCAACCTAGAGGTTTATTTCCAGGTGGGAGATCAACCAACTCCCAAGTATGATTTTGCATTATCGATTCAATTTCACTATTGATAGCTTCTTTCCAAAAAGGAGCCTCTGGTGTGGACATTGCTTCACTGAATGTCTTTGGTTCATCTTCGATCATGTACGTTAGAAATTCTGAACCGAAGGACGTAGACTTTCTAGTCCTTTTACTGCGTCTGAGTTCTTCTTCATTTTCATCATCATTTGCAGTATCGTAAGTTCGTTTTGTTGAACTTACATCACTTTTGTCTTTACGAGGAAAGACATCTTCGAAGAAACTTGCATTCCTTGATTCAATTATTGTATCTTCATGTATATCAGGAATCTCTGATTTTTGCACAAGGAAACGATATGCACTACTGTTATGAGCATATCCAATAAATATGCAATCTACAGTTTTTGGTCCTATTTTTATTTGTTTAGGTTTTGGCACTTCTACCTTTGCCAAACACCCCCACACTTTCATGTATTTATATGAAGGTTTGTGACCTTTCCATAACTCGTAAGGTGTTTCATCCTTTACTTTGTGTGGTATTTTGTTAAGAATGTGATTTGCCGAGAGGATAGCCTCCCCCCACAAATTCTGTGGTAGACCAGAACTAATTAACATAGCATTCATCATTTCTTTAAGCGTACGGTTCTTTCGTTCCGCAATACCATTAGATTGAGGTGAGTAAGGAGCCGTAGTTTGATGAATGATGCCTTGAAGAGAACAAAATTCTTCAAACGGTGCTCCATATTCTCCACCTCTATCACTTCGAACAATTTTTATTGTTTTGGTAAGTTGATTTTCAACTTCATTCTTATAGTGTTTAAACACTTCCAATGCCTCATCTTTGCTTCTTAACAAATAAACATAACAATACCGAGTGCAATCGTCAATGAAGGTAATGAAATACTTTTTCCCACCTTTAGTTTGTACGAATTTCAAGTCACATATATCACTGTGAATTAATTCTAAAGGTAAAGTATTTCTTTCAACTGAAGGAAATGGTCTTTTGGCTAATTTAGCCTCAACACAAGTTTCACATTTGTGATTAGGATCGAAACTTATCGAAGGTAGCAAATTTAAGTTCATTAATTTGCGCACAGATTTAAAGTTTGCATGTCCTAATCTTTTATGCCATAAACAAGAAGAATCAACAATATACGCAGAAGTAGAAGCTTCATTCATCTTGTTCAAATTAGGTACAATAGTAAGGACGTTCATCTTGAACATCCCATCAGTCATGTAACCCTTTCCAACATACATTCCATTTTTAGTTAGTACAAATTTGTCAGACACAAATACTAACTTAAACCCATTCTTGCTAAGAAGGGAACCAGATACAAGATTTTTTCGAATGTCCGGCACATGCAGCACATTGTTGAGGACGAGTTCCTTGCCAGATGTCATTTTCAAGGTCACCTTTCCTTGTCCTTCAACCTTTGAGCTTGAGGAATTTCCCATGAACAGTTGTTCTCCATCAATAGGTTTGTAATCTGAAAACACGTTCTTCTCAGCACAAATGTGGCGAGTGGCACCAGTGTCCACCCACCATTCCCTGGGATTTCCAACACTGTTACATTCAGATATCACAGCAGATAAGTGCATCTCTTGAACGCCTTCAGTCAGATTTTCAGTTTCAACCATATGTGCACGGTCATTTTGCTTTTTAGGCTTGCGACAGTCACTTGCACGATGTCCAGGTTTGCCACAGTTGAAGCAATCCCCTTTGAACTTCTTGTTCTTCTGGTTGTTTTCATTTTTCTTCGGAGCAAAGTTCGAGTGCTTCCTTTTCATGTTCTTCTTTGAACTTGATTCAGCCATGTTTGCCCTAGCTTCCATGCTTGGTCCCCCGATCCTCCTTTCAGATTTCTTAGTATCTTCTTCAATCCTCAAACGCACAATCAGCTCCTCCATGTTCATTTCCTTACGTTTGTGTTTGAGGTAATTTTTGAAATCTCACCATGAAGGTGGGAGTTTTTTAATTAACGATGCTACTTGGAATG